CTCCACAGTTCAGAATAAGCAGCGTGTAACATTTTGGTTTGTTAAGCGATTTACTGAAACTTTCACTCGGAGAAGCGTCTCCTGCGCATGCGTCAGATGGCCATAGCGTGTCATTGTTTACAAACAAGCCTCTTCCCATGAGCCTTTGCGTTTTTAGCGTGTGTTGTTATCGTCGCCTGGGACTCAATTCCCGCGCGTGCGCAGGTGACAACCCTCCCGCTTTAACACAAGTACAGCCAGTATAATATTGTATAAATACGAGTCTGCCGTCAAAAGGGTGGCGCGTGTTATCAAACACCGGGCGAAAACTGGTGTGGACTTTTTTTTATTTAGGGCCATAAACGTCAATTATCGCTATAATATTCATAAGCGACATTATCTCTTGTGTTCTTCGAGTCAGTGTGTATTATGTCCAGAAATTATTTCATTTTATTTTTAATTAAAAAAATTTAATTAAAATTTACTAAGTAAATGTCGAACTATCATTATCGAAATTTGACCGTTTCGACTCTTGAGCCGCATTTCCAAACTAAAAAAAAAAAAAAAAGGGTCATGTACCCTGGCACGAGCACTACGATTAAGGCGTAATTAGGACTGTCTTTTAAATATAATAACTAAATTAAGCACTAAATGACTGAGTTCTTAGCTGACATGTTGATTTTATTTGCTTTGATATAAGCGATACACTCTTGAGATCCAGGAATGTTCAAAACAATCTATGTTGGCATACATTCAGTTTCGAAACAATGATAAATGATACGCTCGAATATGCAAAAAACAAAACAAACAAACAAACACAATCTTAGTATTTATTTATTTATTTAGACAGTAATTGCTTCAGCACTTTATTTCAGTAGTTACGAGTTTGAACTGGTAGACTTGGCATCTAATTAAAATGCAAATTTTATACTTGAATTAATATATAATATTTAAACAAACTAATAATACGTATTTAAAATCTATTCTGCTCTAAAATTGTCATTAAAACATTCATACATCCCACCTGCCGTTTGCCTTAAATCTTTTAGGCCAGACTTGTTTTATTTCTTGTTTCTCGAGTTTTTATTGAATTTTTTGAGGAGAGCGGAAAAAAATAAAATTGATTCTTTTTTTTTTTTTAGATTTTTGTGATTCTCAAACAATTGCAAGTGAGATCATTGATCGGAGAGAAGAAACGAAATAAAATGTTATTCCATGTATAATCTTGTTTCTCATCTGCGCGAGACTTTGGTACTTTGATCATGATACTCCCACGAAAATGCAACTTGGATTTGTTATGCGGCGGGCGGAAAAAAATGAAGATTTTTTTTTAGTAATTGTTTGCACTTACAATTCGGCGGGCGCGAGAAATTACGCTGAAATAAAATTTTATTTTTATTTCATTTTCGGCTCTGTTCATTCGGCGTGTTCGTGAAACAAGGGATAATAAAAGTCTGGCCTTATTGAACTACGGACTATTGTAAACCCGTTAAAATTAACCAATCAATGTTCTTCATGGGTGAGTGTCATTTCGCAAAGAACCCTGGGACAAGGAATAAAAAGAGACCCCTCTGTAATCATTCGTGAAATAAACTACCGGAAGATAGTTTCAGGCAGGACAATGCAACTTTCCTTGAAAATGCGCCCCCTAGTGACGAAACCGTTCAGTGACATCATAGTGACGTATGTGGATGAAAACAATATCGTTCAAATCAAAAACTTTATATTCGGTTGTGTAATCGTTTGTCGTCTGGAACATAGTAAAATCTTTCAAATCCGTAACTTCATTAATGGACGACTACATACAAAAATATAATGATGCTTTGAACGGCTCTCGTGTCACACAATTACGTCCTAAAGGAGTTTCTCCGCCTGAGGGCGCGACTCAAACCAACATAAAAATATATATATATACATAGAGAGAGATAGAGATTTTTGAGTCGTAATTGTATATCTGAAAGTGAAATTGTAAGATTTATTTTAGGCACTATATTTTTTTCTGCCCAAATGGTTGTGCACATTCCTTTTCTATTTTCGTGTTTTTTTGTGTCTGAATTGAACATAATTGATTTCTACATCGGCATTTTTTGAAAAACAAAATGAAAACAATTACCGATTCTGCATAGTCTGCTCCTCCAAACACAAAATGTTGATAACAAATGACAAACCTTTTGATCAAAAACCAAAAGAAATATCCCAAACTGTCAGTATAGTCCAAAATAAGGATGAAATTTAGTGAAAATTTTACTGAATGAGAAAATATTTGCACTGAATTTTGAGCGGGAAAAATATCTGATAAATAACTTTGAACTTTAAGTATAATATATGTTGTGACGTTTACATAAAGACAAAGTACATCATCATAAGCAAAGACGAAATAAATACAAGCTTGATAAATAAATACAGATAAATAATTCCTAATTATGACAAATTTACGACTTAATACTTAATACTAATATTATGATTAACTTACACTAATGTATAGAAAGAAACAATAAATGTTAATTAGAAAAATAACGGTATTTTTGTTATTCAGGTGTTTGAAGTATGTGCAGTAGCGGTCATGTCGTTTCGCTAACTGTTTACTGGCCATGGTTCCCTGAAAGATACAACATACAGGAAATGGGTTATTCGCATTTCAAAATCACACTTCACAAATTTGTTAGATACCACACTCTTGATCAGCGACAATCACGACAGTTCGACAATTCCATAGTGACATCGTTTGTATTTTTAATTAAAAATAAAAATAAAATGAAATAATTTCTAGACATAACACACACTGACTCGAAGGACATAAGATACAATGTCGCTGATGAGTATTATAACGATAGTTGATGCTGAATGCTAGAAATCCAGGCAA